ATTTGTTTATTTAAAGTGTGCATTATGAAAACGGTGGTTACGTTTAATACTTACAATATATGTTTATTCAAAACTATTTCTTATAACTATGGTTTAAAATCAGTTATTCCGAAAAAAAGTAAAAGATACTTAGTATCGTATTTCATTTGCACATTTATTCTTTTCTTTTTCTACTTTGAGAACCAGCCAAAACCAATTATAGAAGACATTTGAGACCACTATGGATTAAAACGGAGTTTGATACACGTTTAAACGTAACAACGACGTGACAATCCTAGTATTTCTTTACACTTCTTTAATCCTTATTTAACTGTCGTTCAAGCAAACCCTCTGCTGCCTCCGTAAACCCCTATTGCGAAATGTCGGAGTTGACAGAGACAGCCGCCATTTTGGACCCACTTCATATTTTTGAATGTTAATTTCTAGAGTTTGGATTTATCAATATTCAAACAAATTATATTGTAAACATAAAAAGAAGGGTTTCTATAAACATTCTAAAAACCAATGAAAAATATTGAAAAACAAAAAAAGTTAGAAAATACGATTTTTTTAAATTTCGCATCCGGTAGCAACCGGAAGTACCGACACACAAAAAGGTGATTCGTCACATCTTAAAGTCATCATCTATCATCTCTTACAAGCTCCAGTCAATATCTTAAAATATTTTCGAAAAAGGGGGGACAGAATTGCATTTTAAAATCAGAAAAGTGTCAATAACTTGGAACCAAAGGTGAGTATTCAAAATATTCCTATCCATGACACAACTTCATATAATGACGCATAATTCCTGAAATTTTCACAAAAAACTACTGAATAGTTTTCGAGAAATCGCACGCACAAAATTTTGGGGAAAAAAATAAGAAGGAAAAGAAACAGTAGAATAACTAGAAGGTCTTCCGTGAAGACGTGTGACCTTAATAATAAAAACAAATGTAATGATAATGGTACACATATACGAGGGTTGATCAAAAAGTTTATGGATTTTCTTCATATTCATTTATTTTAAAGTGGAACTGGTTGAAAATTACAAATTAAAATATAAACACTTGAGGAATATTTTAAATCAAAAAACATTTTGAATATCTTTGATAGTAACTCTATGGCAGTTACCATAGAAACGGTTGTTGGAAATGCCCGAGAGACCTGACGCGTTCATTTTCATTTTCATTCTAAATACATAAAATCAGAATTAAACGGCCTAATATGGTATATAAAAGAAAAAATATGTTTTTACAATTGCCTGATCTTTTATAAACTTATGTGTAAGAGTTTTATTGATTTTACTGGATATTTTGTTATTAAGTTGATGATTTAATGTTCATCTTAAAGATGTAAGACAACACCAACTTTCTGTCACGTCATGAGTTTTGTGAAAATTCCAGGATGACTCTATCTTGAATGCGTATGTTATTGACAAAGGCTTGGGAAAATGCATTTTATTACTTGCTTTCAAGTGGCATAAGAAATTTAAGAAAAATAGAACTTCCATGGACGTTGATTAAAGGTTTCGTCTCTTTTTAGAAGCTCTGTTTTAAGTGCGTATCCCCCTACACAAATTTCAAGCGTTAATTGACGTTGTCGGCCGCTGTACTGTTCTTGACATTGCTTCTGGAATTGGAACATCATATGGTGAAATGGGTAGTATTTTGAAATATTTGTGAAAAATGAAGTAAGTTGGTGCCAGAGTATACCAAGACTTTTCTTGAGAAAAGAAATGGAGAAAAGGCAAGCATATTGTAAAATTACTTGCTAGAATTTGACATTAGGGTGAGATGCTCTATAACGTGACATGACATATCTAACTTGACGTAATGTAGAAGTCCCCCCCCCCCCCCCCCGGGTTTCACAACTATCAATTTCAGAACGCTCGTGTGACCGTATGGGTAATTAATGAAATTTTCTAGTATTGTAACATTATGAATCTTTATTATGCATATGCCTGTTGTTTGCTTTCCTGAAATCAAGATAAAATTTTAGAAAGAAAGTCCACGAACTTTTTGGATCAACCCTCGTACATGTATAGAGTTTTCTATTGCAAGTTGTTGTACAAACTGTCATACAAAGGCAACTTCTTAAAACGATGCTGTATCTTTCATAGACAATTTGCCCATGGAACACGACACTTACCTGAGTAGTGTTGATCACATTGTACTTTACCAGATACCCCCCCCCCCCCTAATCTGTAACGCGGGTATATTAATGAAGCATATAAGTCATTTCTCGGTAAATTTAGCCTTTTTAAAGAAATTTAAGTTTGATAAATTACTTAATCCGCTGATAAACGTAAACTGTGATTAACTATTGCATATAAATAAATGAGCGTCTAACCTTGAGACGTGCGCCACTACTACGGCATCACATGACTTCTATTAATAGCGAACTTTTTCTTAAGAAAAAAAAAAACAATCAGAACAACAATATCCCGGAGTTAAACATTTTTTTAATGTTAATAATATAGTTGAAAAATATTTATTTTTCTTGAAAAGTGCTGCTAGAATCCCACTGTCCTGTCAGTAAAATAATTATTCCTCATATTCGTACTAGTCCTTACCGTATGTTTTGAATTACAATTCTTATGTTTAAAAATATCCAGCTTATAGTTGTTCTGTTGCATTATTTTTGTCACGAATAACAGAGGAAAGGCAGACCGGGATAAATATATTGCTGACTGCCTTCGAAAGAGAATAAAAATCGACGAAAATAAATTAGCATACATGTCTTTAATTGACTGAACCTCAGATGAGTTTCACAAAATATTCACGATGTTTCCTTAAAAACTCCATTTTACCTATTTTGCATATGTCGTCTTAACCAAATTCTCTTTACACGACATAATCAATTCCCAAGTTACTTGATGTACTAGGTGGTAGATTTTAATCAAGATGATAGACACAGCATAACAGAAAAAAAAATATTTTATTTTTGTTAATGTTTACATGTTTCTATTTTTTTTCTAGAGTTAAATTACATATCAAAATACAAATATTACGAAAACTTGTGTTCTAAAATTGACGTCATCTCGCCTTTTATAACGTCATGATGTAGCACTGATTTAGCCAATGTAGAATATTTTATATGCTTCCTTAATACCTCTACGAATATCTTTTTGTGACCCCATCTTAACATACAGGTAATTATTGTTACCCAGCCCTACCTCCAGAGGTCATGATTTGAAAAATTTAGAATTTACATTTCCCAATGTTTCCCGACTTCTTTTTTTCTTAACAAATTCATTATTTTCAAAATTTAGTTCAAACTACATTAATTTGTGTAAAACATGTATGCAGTGCCAGGAAATATTAATCAACTACAGTACGTGTACTAGTTGACCTTCAGATATCTGGACAAATTGTCTTTAGAACAGGTATTTTAAAACTTACTTTGTATTGTTTTACTGGTAATTCAGGTATCCGCACTCTTCACATATCCGAAAAAAAGATTTGACTAGGCACCGAAGCGTCCTGATAAATGAGACTCCACTGTATAACAATCACTACCTATAAAAAAATACTTCCTTTTATATTAACTTAACTTAAACTCCATTCTTCTGCGTGATAACAAAGCTACAAGGAGTGGTGTATATTAAAAATACATTAGTGAGCGGAACTATCATGTCATTGGGAACCTTTTTTCACACATGAATGAACAAAGCAGTCCAAAAAGGAAGCTCCAGGGACAGCTGGGTCCAAGAGCGGTCCAAAGTCATTCCTGGGGACTTCTTTCTGGGACTCCTTGGATGTCTGGTTGGGTCTGTTCGGTACTATATTTATAAGAATATCTAGGTCAAGTTCCGATTTGTGTAAGATCAATCCATTTTTGACTAAGCTGCATACATGCATTTGGCTTATTTTGGGGAAATGGATGGGGGAGTGATTCAAAGACCTATCTTGTTATTGTATGATCAATAAAACCCTGCCAAAGGACTCCTGACCCAAGGCTATGACATTTTGCTTATCATAAAATTAATTACTTAGTTTATGCAATACACAGGAGCCGATAAAAATTTTTTAAAGATTGTATTTTTACGACAATTTAACAGATCTAAATGTAAAATGTTACTTATGTTTGTAACGCATGATGATCGAGGGCAATCACAAACGGATAGCAATAGGTCACCTGAGTGACGAAATGACTCAGATGATTAAATAATCAAAGCAGGCTCGCTAAGTGTTTTTTTTTGTTGCACAGGAACAAAATGGTCAAACGTCCTCGGAATGAATTGTCTAGGTGTGATATTTACAGCTGTCTTACGACAAGAATCGAAATAAAAAGCTGTACCCCTATACTAATGATCTCTTTTTCTCTTTATATTTACGGTAGGTGTGGTTTATTTGGAGCATTTTATATTTCAAATAGGGCTGCAATAAACACCCTTGATAAAATGCTGAAGCTGATTTATCAAAATCAGTTCTAGAAAGGAAAAGTTCACCTTGCTCAAATCTGTATTGATCAGTCGGTTTGACATTATGATATCAATTATATACATTATCCACTATATGTGTACCCCCTTCAATCTATAGCTTCCTTTACTCACACTGCTTCATAAACTGAAGAATTCTAAATTAATGTTTTAAAGTAGAAAACATTATAAATATGCAGTGCTTTTCTTCTATTCTGTACTTGTCTTCGAACTATGATCGTTTAAGCAATATTTCTTGTATTCACTTGTGACACTGTTTCGGCTAAATTAAGACGGACTTTGTATGTATATGTGAGAAGATGACATGTATGCTCTACCATTGTTTGAATTAATTAATATAATTCAATGACTTTTGTTTATTTTTAGAAATGCATGATACTACACTTAAACAATTGAGACGAGAAGACATCCGTTACAACGAGTCATCATTCTTAGATTTCTTAAAGGAAAATGTGGAAAAGAAATCCTGTATCTTGGTAATATGTTGACTTGGCAGTGGAAAAACGTCTAATATCTGTCATATTGCTTTGCAATTCAAAAGTTGTGAATATGAAGTGTTCCAGGTAACTTCTAATGACGAGCAGGACGCTCGTCAAGATGGAGACTGAGAGGTGCAGGTTACATAGTGCAATCAAGGAAAATATCTTCAGCTTGGATGATAAGCAAAACAACCTGACAAGGAACGATAGAATGGGAATTTTATAATGTCATATGAAAGAAACTTCCTATTTCTCAAAACTCGAAGAATACGTAAAGTGGTATGACAATAGATTAATGTTTCCTTTGCTTTGTAAATTAATTTCATCAAATCCTGATTATGAAAGAGAGGGTAGTCAATTCTTCAAAGAACCATGTCAGCTTATTTTGAAACATTTACAAGAACTAATGAATTCAAAGAAAAAACGAATTCAGTGTGCTTCCTTAAGAATATGCATGCTCAACAAGGGCAGAATTTCAAAAGAGGACATTGAAAATGAGTCATGGGATAAATTGGTTTCGCACAAGTGTTAGAGAGTACCGAAATCCACAGAAATTTGGGAATTTACAGATGCTTTATCGGATGTGAGAGGAACGTATACAACTAAATCTTCCGATGGATTCGTTTTTCTACACGACATTTTATTTGAAGGGAAAGTATGTTGTTTTGGGACACAATATCCTGAGGAAATTATCAAACGACTGCCAGGTGAACTGCTTTCAAACAAGTTGGTCCTACAGGAAAAAGAGAAAACCAATGACTTGCAAATTTATATGAAACAAAACATGTTTCCGTGTCTTGCACAAGGACTAATAAAAGGAGTTAAAAGACCTTCAGCTATATGTTGTATTTTATTCCAAACTTTTATGTAACAAAGAATTACAAACATGTTTTGTTCAACAACTGAACCAAGATTTTTCTTCAATGGCCTTATAAGATTTTTTTTGACACCAACAGACAGGTTCTCGAGTAGCCTTCTACTTCAGCATCAGAAATTTATGAGTTATATAGATGAACGGATCAATATTGATTTTCTAGCCCGTGCGCTTATCGAAAATGCCAAAACGCTGAAAACTGATGATTCCTCTGAAGATGAGGATGATGATGATGAATATAAATCGGAGGTGCTGATCAGGCCAGTGGTAACACAAGTAATACCATTGAGCTGGGTTGTAGCTTACGGACATAGCTTCCTTCTTCAATATTTAGTGGAAATTGCGAGTACTCATAATGATACTATGCATATATAAGGATTCGACCTGGAAGAGCAATCTCGGTATTTGATCTTAGCCTGTTACTCAGGGTGTATTGATACAGTTAACTTTGTTCTTAGAAATGTAAATCATGACTGTATCAATTTACCACCAATAAAAAGTGAAGTTGAAAGACAGGATATTCCAATTCATTGTAACTTCACACCAATGTAGATGGCTATACTACGTGGAAATTCTGAAATTTTTGACGTTTTGGTCAACGCAAATGTGGACATCAACGCCTTAGATTTTGCAGGATTGACACCTCTTTGGATGGCAATATATGCATCTCAGGACACCATTTGTAATAAACTCATTAGCAAGAAAGCTGACGTTAATACCTTTAGAAAAGAACTTTTATCACCTCTCATACTTGCAGCATGCTTAAATAAAAGTAAGATGATAGACTCTTTACTGAAGAAGGGAGCAGACTGCAATTATCGAAGCGATTCTCGTGAAACAGCTTTATACTGGGCTTCTCGTGTTGACAATTTCAACTCTGTAAAACAATTGATAGAATATAAAGCTGACCTATCTATGTATGAAGATAAAGACAAATCACCATTTTGTGTTGCAGCGGAGAATGGGAATCGAGCAATAGTCGAGCTTCTGTTTTCAAATGGAGCAAATTGCAATTTCCTTGATAAGGATGGCCGCTCGCCTATATACTTAGCTTCCAATGCAGGACATGCAGAAATAGTGAAGTTTTTATTGGAAAAGCGTGTAGATATTAATTCTACCATGTACAAACCATTGCTTGCAGCTATAAGGAATGGGAATGCTGAAATTGCGAAAATGCTAATACAAGCTGGGGCAAGTCTTAAAACACATTTTACATATTGGGGTTTTACTACCCCCCTACATGAGGCTGTTCACGCAAATATGCCAGACGTCATTCAAGCTTTGCATAGATATGATCTCGACTGCAGAGCTAAAAACGATGAAGGCATAACACCTCTGGAAGCTGCAATTTGGATGGGGAGAAAAGAAATAGTACATCATCTCATAACAGGAGAGAATTCCATTACAAATGGAAGTGGAAATGAACATTTGTTTAAAGCAACAAGCATTCTGAAAGTATTGCATTAGCAATACAAGTCCCCTACCGGGTTCCCCTTTTTCTTCCGGATGTCATTTTTTAATGTGCAAAAGTCATGTCCACGGTTAAACTGAAACATTTTCAAGTTGTAAATGCCTTAACTAATAAAACTAATAAAACAATCAACATTAAGACAACAATTCAACTCATTTATCCATCGTCTTTTCCTTGCTTCATATTTTTGTCGGAAGCGCAGTTCGAATCCAATCTTAATTAAGCGATTATGAAAAATATTCAAAATGCCATAATTCTGACAGAAATCAATGAAGCGAAACGAAATTCAAATTTGATCAGTAACTCATTAAGATACACTCACTTACCAAAATTCAGCTTAATATCTGCAAGCGTTTAGAAAAAAAGTGCGGAAAACCAAGTGGGAATGAAAAATATTCAAAATGCCATAATTCTGTCAAAAATCAATGAAGCGAAACGGAATTCAAACTTGATCTGTAACTCCTTAAGATACACTCACGTACCATAATTCAGCTCAATATCTGCAAGCGTTTAGAAAAAAAGTGCGGAAAACCAAGTGAGACAGACGGACGGGGACAGACAGACGGACGGACGGACGGACGCAGAGGAAACCTATAGTCCCCTCCGGTTTCACCGGTAGGAGACTAATAACAAAACTACGGTCATCTAATCTCAGACTCAATCTGAAAGATGAAATAGAGGCAGAAGATAAAGACGAAATCTTAATTGTCTCAACGTCTTCGGTCTTTAATGATGTTCTTTCCTCTGATTTGTATGAATCTCTTGAAAGTTAATTGTCTCTTGGTTTACGTGGGGACCGTTTTCTTAAAAAAGCTAAACAAAGAGAGACCTTTTGGTACATTAACTTACTAGGACATCGAAGCTTTATAAATATGGCAATTATCTTTCACATTATATAATTGAAAATGGATTTTCCAGTTGCATCGAAACCATAGTTGATCATAATTTCAAAGCAGGACCGAAGGCAGAATACCAGAGGGAACCCTTTGTAAAATCCCAAAGAACATTTGATAGTGAGTCTGAATTTATAGATTTTCTTGAGCAGTTTGACGAGATAACTGACACTAGTCATACTGACTGCTACAGGAACCACGTGATGGACAATACTCAATCAATTTTACACTTCATTCTTAGAAGTATCCATAGTATGAAAACATTAATTTCGACTTCTTTGATCGAGAATGAAGAGGACGAATCTGCTTAAAGAATGAACATTGAAGACCTTGAAAATTCATTGAGGTTGTATATTAAACCAAGAATGAGAAGACATTCATTTCCCTAGCATCCTTGCAAATTGATTGGTTGAACATTCGAGAGTATGCTAGAACAAGTTACTTTGCCACTTCTTATAGGAAATGTATTAATATGTAATTATTATTTAAATAAGTTTGTCGCTTATGAACTTCTTTTTTTCTTTCTTGATGTCAAATGACATTTGAAGTCACGATATACGTGCGTACAAGTAAATACAAAAAAGTCGGCTGCAAGTACGAGCGATACATTTGTGAAAGTAGAGAGCATTTGAGAAAAAGATTTTTTTCTTTCACATTAGTATTAATCATAAGAAGAGTGATGAGTAAAATATGTATAAGTACATGAATATAAATTGCGATAAATTAAATACTTATTGTTGTTATAATGTGTGTGATTTTCATTAGCTTTACTGGTTAAAGAGCTTTTGCAATAAGGTGTCCGACGTCCGTCTATATGTGAAAAAATATTAATTTGCTTCTTCCCCTACAGTTTTTTTTGTCTGATTTCAATGTAATTGGACCAAAAAAGTAGGTTAAATGCATACCTTTAGGATAAGTATACATCATATTGTTCAGGATGGCAAGGTCTACTTTCTGGACACAGTCTGGTATCGAATGAAATTACGCTGCCCATCCGGGTCTTTGATTTTTAATGCTTAATGATTATAAGAGTGGTCTCCTAGTGTTCCAATAATACGCAGAATGAGAAAAAAATATATAGATACAGGCAAAGGTTTATTGAAAATTTTTCTGATAGATGTTCCAGTGAAACGGCATTATTAATTTTACGAAATGTCTATAGATGGTACTTTACAATAAGGCACAGAAGGTTTCTTATCTAACATTTTTCATCTTCAAAGAAAAGTCCAAAAAGCTTCTTTGACATGTGCATTTTGACTCACACAACCGTAAGCCTTTTACAATGAACCACTCTTTAAAACTTAAATAATTGCATAATTATTGTTTAATTGATACAATTTTCAGCCAGGAGCATTAAATCATTGATGTTGTCAGCTTAAGATGTAAGAAATACATATTACTGTTCCCACTTCTTTGGGAATCATTCGTCATTGAATGTTTTTGTAATAACTGAATATTAAATTTAAACAAGGAATGTGTAAACTTTGAAATATGAAATTACCTTCACATATCAGCCGTATAGAAGTTTAGACCTAGTTGATAAAAAGTCGAGGTGTTTTTCTAAAGCTTTATTAACGTATACATGTACATTTGTGAAATTTTATTTAAACTTAAATAAATTCAAAGGAAATAAATTAGACCTGGCGTTCAGCAACGACCTCAAACAAATAAAAACATTTTTTTAAATATTACTCTGGTACCTAGGCATAGCAGATATTGAACTAGGTAACGTTAATGTGCTTAACAAAATATCTCAAAACGTAATTATTATGTTTTTTTAATCACAAAACTTAATTTTAAAAAATTCAAAATCAATCTTAGCACAATTTTTTTTAATAAAATTCCTCCAGAAGCACAAAAGGCAAACGCCTTTCCGAAAGATACTTAATTAGACTTTGCTTTAAGCTACAACATTAAACAAAGAAAAGCATTTTTTATGTTCAAAAACTTCATAGGCATATACAGTCGTGGTGTTTTTCTTAGGCTTTATAAAAGTAAATACTGTGGAATCACAAATTTTCGTGGGGGTTTAATTTTCGTTGTTTTCGTGGTATGACAAGACCCACGAATTCATGTTCACAACGAAATGTAAAATTTCACACACAAAAATACTCATTAATTCTTGATCCACGAAATCAAATCCCCAAAACCAAGAAATTTTCCTCAAACCACGAAAATTTGACCCCACGAAAATATGCGATTTTACAGTAGGTACATTTATAAGATTTTATTAAAACCTAAAATAAATTCAAAGGAATTTAATTAGACCCTGCGTTAAGCTACAACATCAAACAAACAAAAACATGTCTCATGTTCAAAAACTTCATAGGCAAAGCAGCTATAGAGATAAACAAAATTAATGTGCAAAACTCAAAACGTAAAGAAATTGAAATTGATTCATTTTTTTAAATTACGAAAACAATTTAAAAAATTCCAATTAAGCTTTTTAACATAATGTTTTATCTCATAACATTCCTCCTGACGCACAAAAAGCAAACGCCTTCCCGACAGCGGTGAGAATGGATCCAGAAATCCCCCCTGCCGCCACGGACTGCAAGTAAGACACCATACCACCACCGACAACACCACCGCCACTAGCCAGCGCCGAGGCCGACATCATTTTGGCGGCAATGGATCCTGCGGCTATCCCGGAGGATGTGAATCCAAGGAGCGGAAGTGCTGCAACGGCAACGCTTCCTGCACCAAGAACTCCCGTCATGCAGATAAAAAGGTGACTTATTCCTGTAACAAATCATCGTAGTTTGAATTTCAAAGGGAGGAAATATGATAAAGAAGTTTTCTACAATTAAGAAAGCTCAGCTCTCTTTTTAAAGTTATGAAATGATAGGAAGTTCAATCTATTTTTAGGAGTAAATCTCATAAATTCAATATACATGTACCTCCCGCTAGGGGGCAGTTGGACAACAAAAGAATCAAAACACAAAGGGCTTGAAATTCTTTGCCTTTCATATTCCTCTGAAAAAAGAAAATTGAACATCAAATGAATGTGTTCAGAGCTTAACCATGTTGTTTTTAATCGTCGGGCACCTTAAAAAAATTGGTGTGCGCTCCTCTAGTACTGATGGGGAACTAAAAGAGTTACGCTGTAAAGTATGTGAAAACTTTGACAATCTGGTTCAAACTGTTTACATAAGTGTGAGCAAACTAGGTATCAAATGTTATAGATACGTTATTATGACTGGAGAAGTCACGGCATTGTCGACTTTTGATTTTGACGATACAATGCTGGTTAAGCGTGTTCTGTGGTTACAAAACATATTGCCTTAAAAATTGGCTAACATGAGTAATATATTTTGTTTCCATTATAAAACTATTGTTGGAGACAAAAACTATGAAAAATTATTCAAGGAAACTAGATGTTAAGACTTTTTTCTTGTTTGCTTAATCCAAAGAATTGTGTGTTTACAGAACAAATGTGTCTATAAAACAGGCACTGTCTTAATTAAATCTACACATGTGCAATTTTTTTGGGACATTGGGAAAAATCTATATTTTAAAAAGGAGTTAATACACTACACATTTCTGTATAATTTGTGTTTTAGTGCCCATAAAGAATTGAATTATTAACAGAAATGTGACTTTTTAAATATGATACATAGATTTATAATTTCATTTTCGCAAAAATGGATTTTTTTCATTTTTTCTCAGCAAATGCGTTTAACATTTAAGGGCATTGCATTTTTAATGAACATTGTTAGATCTGAGCTTCAGTTTTTATCCTGTTATCAATTCTTTGTGTTAGAAAAGAGTTTAATGATGTGCATTTTCTTATTTAGTGGAACATATTAGTTATTTATTAGTTATTTTGTTTTTTTTAAATATCGATTACACGGAATTCAAAAAAGAACACAAGTAAGTCATTTTACCAAGGTTAAAAAAAAAAGAAATGAATTTATTTTAAAATGTCTTTAAATTTTTTCTTCAAGACAATGCTACCTGTAAGGAACAGCTGCCCTTGAACATTTTATCAATTTTTCATGATCTTTCCCTCATTTTTGATTAACACGTAAACATGATAGATCTACCAAATCTTATCCTTCTAATTAATCAACGTTTATTCTATATGCATGTGTTAAAATTTTGTGTGCACCCAATTTTTTTAAACAAAATGACGAAAGAAAAGTTTTTATAATCGGTCATACAGTCATGCAGAACACACAATAGTTTTTTTCACAACTGCAATACTAATTATCTTACCTTAGACTGGAGGGTAGTTTTTAAAATCGAACTGTTTACAATTAAAGGATGCGCTTGAATATTCACCGAAAACAAAATGAAAATGAAAGAAGAAAACATTCACACAGAGTGTGTGTATCACATAAATCATGACGCTGAACATACGTTTTCACATGTACATTATTTTAGTATAAATATAATGGAAATTTCAGTACAATTTCTCACCCAAATAGTGTTGCCACTTGAAAATATTACCTTCGCAGATTTATTTATGTTCTAGAACACGTCAATGTTAATTGGAATGCATATGGATGCACGATCTTGAGTAGTGCACATTTCTATCATAACAGTAGTGTGTTACGTATGAAATTTATTTTTAGATTATTGTGTTATTATAAAATACACCCTTTAACAAAAATTTATATAAGTGTTAGAAGAAAATGCTAACTCTGCTGTCACAACTGCAATATTTTTAAATCTGAAAGTACTTTTATCTATTCTGATTTTTGCCCTAAAATAACAACTTGTTTCTCTCATTCGGTCAATTCATGCTTGGTCGATATGTTTTTGTGTAAAGTCGATATATCTATGATTCGACCAAATGAAAGTTTGATATTTGTATAATATGAACATATTTGACATAAACATAATGGGTATACTTTTCCACCGTCGCATAGAAAGAATAAGGGACATCTCTTTGTATCTGATAATACATACGATTTGCCACAAAAAAAAACAACTACCCAAAAGACAATAGTAGTTTAGCAGGAAAATAAAGACACTAGAGGCGACTGTTGTCAACCATGTGAAAAACGATTTTTTAAAAGATTATTACATCTTTAGTTTACTCCATGGCCAATGCCAGTGACTGTACTCCTCACATGACAATATAACACACGATAAATCATATACAGCAGAAAATATATTGACAGGAAGATTTGGGATGAGTCGAGGAAAAGGAAACTGATTGATTGCATGCGAATTTTGTAAAGTCCGTAAAACGGTTAATGTCAACAAATGACAACCTTGACATCTTAAAACTATTGTAGACGATTATTACTGTGAAGTACTTTTAGCAGCTCTACAGTTTTCTATGAGGGTTTTACATTAATATAATATTCATCCTCGATTGTCACGTAACAGTTTACGAGTACCTCCTACTGTTTATTACTCTGTCGATGGATGTTATCTATTCGAAGCTTGAAGAATCTTCTCGTGTAATTCTAAATTGAAACGGAAGAATGTAAATATTCAATTAATTTATTACTTGATTCAATTCAGTTTTGAAAATAAGATTACATACTTCTTTTAACAAACTATCTTTTGAAAATATTTTATATAAAAAGTACACAGTTATCCTCATTTTTATACTTTAAATAAGCTCTTGCAACAAAAGAATGGATTAAATTAATATATTCTAATCTTAGGACATTTCTAAATTACTTTAATGAAAGATTAATCTAGAAAATAACTCACTCCGAATATTATTTGGAATATGTGCGGTTTCCTGAATTTTATCCATTGTTGTTTTCACTTTTCTTAGCTCATCTAAATAACAAAAGAACTAAAATATATGAATGTTTTTAGGAACACGTTAAAGACTCAGTTTGTTACTTACAATTCGAGCGCTGTGATTTCGTTAAATGATCTACTCCAGTTTTTTGGAATGTTTACAGTTTTCTTTGGCAGAAAGAGCAAAAATAAGAAAGGTACGCTGTGGTTCAAGTGTAAAACAGAAGTTTTATTTAGGAACATAATACAAAGGAAAACCGCTAACGAGTTTGTTTATGACATATTTAGAGTCAGATTACTTTTTGTTTAAATAAGTCAAAAAGATAAAACCGGAAACTGCATAAAACAAAACAGAAATAAACAAATTGGTTGCGACATTGTAGAACATGATGCATAGTGGGTATTTAATAGTGTTTATTATCTGTTTCATTAAGAACTGCTCCAAAAAAGAAAAGACAGTTCACAGCTTACATTCTTTATCCATACAAAAAGATTCTAATGAGTGTTATAAAAGTATAAGTATATATGTTCTTTACGAACAATTCAAAAGGTTTGTCAGATTCATTTCTTATGCTAGTCAATCTCAAAATATCAGGAAATGTTACTGATGAAATTATGTGTTTTGAGGTAATTTGTAGAATTTTCACAAGTTATTATATTTACTGTTGTCATTCTGAGGCAAAGTTTCAAGTTTTAAAATAAAAAAAAAATAAACATGCTGCTATAAAACATTCATCTTACCTTTAACTTTTGTTATTTCCTCTTTGCATACCATGTCTTCTTCATATTTCCGTTTAAGCTCAATTTTCCAAAACTCTGTTTCTGTTACATCCATTGTCATGTGCTCTAAATAGACCATAGCGTTTTCGTATTTTCACCCATTTGCTAAAATCAAATCAAGGTTCTGAACAACTTGTTTTGTGTTGGCCCAGACATTTTGGAAATCGGCATCTGATAGTGCTAAAGATTGACTATGAAGGAATCTATTCCTAAGTATTCTTATTCTTTCTATGTTTGCTGCTTCTGAAAAGTCACTGGCATCTGGATCTTTTCCCCATCCATTGATATGTGAAGGTACACCGGAAAGATTACGCAACAAAGTATAGATAAGAGTGATATCAAAGTCTGTATAGTTTGATCTGTAGGATCCTGAGGATGGAAACAGAAGGAGATTTTGTTGTGACGATAATTTATTTATAAAGTTTAACGAATTTTTCTTTGCTAGAGCTCTTTCTTGCTGAAGCCTCCCATATAGAGCTCCGGGAGTAAAGTGGTGAGCCAGTAAATCACGGAATTGGTTGGTAAAAGGTCCAAACAGTAAATGCAACACACGACATGCATTTGTTGTTTCCTTTGTAGATTGGTACTGAAAAGATGAACACGCCATATTCCATAAAAAATTAAAAATAAAAACGATCCAACTTCCTTTGTGATATTGATAATAACTTCTTTTGCTTTTATTTATAATTTTCTATCGATATAACAATTTCATTGTTTTACTTTTGAGCACATTCCTGTTCTGATTTTGATGGTTCCTCTTTCTAATATTCTAAAGTTTTGACTTTGCGACAAGAAAATCACTGTTTATATGATTGTCAAACACATTTAAAGAATGAGGTACATGTATTTACACAAACTAGTTGCGCCTATGAATTTTGTACAATAAAGAAATACACACAAAGCTGTTGGGTTAAAAGACATTTCTATTAGAATGTTGTTTACTAGCTCCAAGGTGACAAGAATACACAGTTTGACAGGGTTTAAACCAGATATCCACCAAACTGTTTTAAAACTTTATTCCCTTTGAATGTCTGCATTTTTATTCAAAGAATATTTTCCAATGTGTAAACGAAATCGATATTGAATAAAAAATGTGTAATGCGTGAAACGGACATACTAGATATTCCTAAATAATATATATATATTTATTTTTTCAATGAATTCTTACTACTTTAAAATGTTTAGTCGCCAAAAATTAAAGGACATTGCAAGATATTAGAGCATTTATGCAGCAGAAGATGATGTTTTCCATCTAAACCTTTTGGGATTTTTTTTTTTAATTTGGCAATATCACATTTTTGGTGTTTTGAATGATTAAAGACCATTAGAAACCTGTTAAGAAATCAAAGGGTAATGTAATGTCTTGCCTCGGAAGAAAACTGAAAGGCTCTCTTTGAATTGTTGAATATACAAATAAATATACCTGCTACGATTTTAACTACTAGTGCACAGAGAAATAGCTTTTAAGGACAATTAGAAACAGCTAGTTTAAAAAAGTAATATAACAAATACACATAGAACAATAACTTGTAAAATTAATTTATCTTAGCACTATTTATACTTCAGTTACGTCGATACTAAAATGGTAGACATCTTAATAAGGACAAAAACTAGTGATCTTTCTTCCGGATCAGAAGGAAAAGATAACCAATCATACATAATTATCATTCTGTAGTGACATCTCACTCTCGTATACGGTATGTTAGTTATCAATACACTCTGAAGCATCATGGGAAAATACACAAGTGAGCAAAGTTTGGCGGCAGCATAGGTTTCAGTTATACACATGTATATGTTTAAAGATGCTGAAAACATTGATCAATTACGCTTATCTCATGTCAATCTTACATTGCAACGCACATTTATAAAAATATATGTTCAAGTAAACAAGCAACAAACGTATATCAAATTAACAAGCGATTGATTTTAAAATTAAAATTTATTTTTTAAAGGTGAAGTGCTAATCAACTTTATTTTCTGAAAATATTTCAGGATAAAAAGAAACTGCATAAACATAAAAGTCAAAGCACATTTAATCGGTTGATTGTTAATAATGATATCATTGACAATAGACACAAATGGTTTTTGACGTAATTTTACCCCCCCCCCCAAACCTTCCCCCTCCCCAGTAAAAAATATCTCGGACAATGTTCCTTTTGTCAATGAGGGAAAAACATTTTCAAGACTGTGTTTGATTTGTTCAGAAAAACTCTTTACTTTACAAAATATCTACAATTGTGCTTTTTGAAGTTCATAGAAACACTAGCTGGTCATAATAGAGACATTTCAAACAACATAACAATACTTTGGTTTGTCCACGTGTAACGTCGGTTTGGCGAGATAATTAAATATAAGACTCATGTATGTACGAAAAAAAATTACAGACGGCAAATGTGACTGCATATAACTTTCGGTTGTCCTTGATTCATGAATGCAAGAACAGTACGTAATCGCTTGCGTGAGTAGAGGTCCTGCGATATCCATTTCTGCTGCAACCTCATCGAACTGCTCGATAAGTATGATATCGGAGATCTAGCCGTCTTGTGTAACAATTTCAAGACTGAACCAGTGGTGTGCTAACAACTGAATGAAAATTCCCTTTGAACAACTCTGACTATCGCCCGAGTGTTTATCGCCGGGGTTAGAATTGAACTAAAAGGCTAACACGCAGACGGACGGACAGGCATGAAAGCTACAGCATAATACAAACCGTCTTAAGACGAAACACGCACTCATACCCAAAGCATTAAAACGATATCATTGACGTTATCTGATGTCAAAAGCTTACTATGTCATTTTCTCAGCAAAGTTATCGTTTAGCTCAATAAAGATTCTTTCGTAAGTCGCTGTAACCAGTCATCAAAATGTGCACAA